TCAGCTTCTCCTCCTGCGAGGCGACAACAAAACCCAAAGACACTTCAAAATTCTTAGTACAGACCCAGGGAACTGCCAGGCCAAATCAATCTCACGTAAACAAACATGCTGCCAGTCCCCTTTTTCCCAGAAACAACTCACAGAGGAAAAAAAAACCCCAAAGTTAATTAGGGAGTGCCTGGATTACAGCTGGCCATCTGGCTGCCTGGGAGCAGAGGTTGCTTTGTGCACCTGAGGCTGAACAGGCTCTTAGGAGGAGACTCAAGAAACCTTTCCTTTGCCATGTTTAGCAGCAGAGAACAAAAGTACAACAACCAAGAATGCCAGCATGGCCAGAGTGTCCTGTCTGTCATCCTGGCATGCTGAATTTAGGAGTCATCTACTTCAAATGCACTTTTGTCCCTGTGGCTGTCTGCCTGCCATCATATCCAGCCTGTATCCAACTGCTAATGAGCTTCATTCACAGTCCTCACTTGGAGCTCATGTAATGAATAGCTCTGAAGTGAAGTATTATTAAACCCCTATGAATAAAAGGTCATATATCCTTGAAGGTGATGAAACTTCTCTTAGCTTTTGGCAAGAGGATTTGCATTTGCATTATGCCATGGTATTTCTTCACAGCTGACCCAGTGTTACGCCTGATGGGCTTTGCCCAACCAGGAAAACCACTTCAGGGCTGTTCCTTGACAACTGTGCTATAGGTGGATCAAAACCTGAGACCTAAGGATGGAGATTCAGAAAGCATTAAGGGTGGAATTACACTGAGTAGAGCTCTATCCAGAGAGCAGGATGAAAAGGGAAACTTTGCTGCAAATCCATGCTTGTTTCAAAGACAGCAAAGCCAAAGATGAAGTGTCTCTAAATGGTTGCATGCCCCTTCCAGGCAGCTGTGTAAGTTGTCTTTGGCACTGACTGGATAGGGGAGGTTGCTGCCTGGAGGGAACCAGGAAACAATTACTGAAGGTCTGTCGAAATGGTAAAAGTCACTTTGTCTCAAAACTACTTGGCATATTAACTCAATCCCACTTTCCTCCTTGAAGAAACAGGTGCTGATTTGTTAAGCAGTTAGTCAAATAAACTCAGTTTGCTTTTCCTTTCCAAGTTTGTCCAGAGTAAGGAGTGGCTGTGCACAGTTCCCAGGCCTGCCATTGTCCCAAGAGCGCCACTTCTGCCAGGGCTGGTGATTCACCCCTGCAGCGCCAGCCTGGTGTCACCACGTCAGCAGAGGAGGAGGAATCTCCACTGGCAACTCCCAGCCAGCTCCTGTGACCTGTCACAGGCACTGGGGACAGGACTTGAGTGATCCTCTCTAGGCTGTGAAAAATATGGCACAATTTTGTGATGGCTAAATCTGCAGAAGGTTCCTTTGATTTGGGATCGAAAAAAAAATAGATGCCCCACTCTTTTCTATTGATAATTATGCTGGAAGCAGAAACTGGCTGACCTGTGCTTACAGCATTCCAGGTTCAGACTCAGACCAGTAAGACAGGCAGTTACACACCATCCTGGGCTCCAGTCATCCCAGGACAGGGCAGAGTGGTCTGTCAGGTGCAGTGCAAGGAGCAGGCAGGGGATGTTCTGGGCGTGGAATAACCAAGTGGGTGTTTGCTGCTCCCATATTCTGCATTCCTGTGACCAACACAGGTGTCTCCTCCTCCATTTCCCAAGTCCCTGCTGTGATGTGGGGGATGAAGGGGGGACAACTTCCTAGAGTTTCCCCCTTCTCCCATTACTACACTCCCAGTCAGGGCAAGGGAGAGAAACCCATAGAAGCAGAGAGAAGAGCTTGGGCAGAGCTGAAGGAGCTGGACAATCTGGTCTGTTTGGCTAAGGCTGTAGGAGCTGGCTGATTAGACATAGTTTGCTGGTCTAGGCTCATATTTTGGCCATTTTGCTCATGCACAGCATGGTGTAGGTAGACGTGCCGCAGAAATATTAATTGATAAGAACTGCAAATGTTGCCCATGCTTTCTGAGTGTGTTTCAGGTCACAACACAACATGCTGTGCATAAAAGAAGCTGCATTGGCAGCACAGTCAAAGTTGGATGTCATTTTATTGTGCTGTTTCTGATGGTATGAATAATGTTCAAAATGCCATTTGTAAGGATTTTCGGACATTAGCCCTGTTAAAGAGAACAGAATTTGCACACATCCCGGGGAGACAGCATGGGCTATACATGCTTTTTATTCTACTCTGAGGCAAAGAAGCACCTGGGTGAGTGCTATTCAAACAAGGAGGATTTTGTTTTCTCCTGGAGGCTGGCATGTTTTTATCTGCCTTCCCTGGATAACAGCTGGTAGTGAGCTGAAACCACCACTCCGTGTGCAAACTGGGATCCCAAACTTTGGGATACAGTTTTGTTTAATTATGCCCAATGCTTATAATGAGCTTAGGCAATGAATCTGTTTGACACAGGGTCATTACTATTATTACTTCTTACAGCATTACACACAGCAGACCATTATCCTTGATTCAAGTGCTACTCTTGCTTTAAGAATAAATAAATACATTAATTAAAAACAAACAAACAAACAACCTTTTTAGAAAAGAAGGAACTAAAAAGATTGAAATCGTTTCCTTAGATCAGTTGCACTGTGTGAGGATGAAGTGCCTTGAATTAAAAATGTTGGGAGGATAGTAGAGTATATGTGTTGTGCTTGATAAATGTGCTCTCAGGACTGCTGTGAGAGAGTGAGATAGATCCACACGTCAGAAAACAAGATAAAGCACAACATCTGCTCTTCCCTTCCACCTCCGTGAGCTTGTGGGAGTTCTTTCCTGTTCCCTCATTTCCTCATCTATAAATCTAAAATAACACAGGCTCTCCTTACTGGAAGTTGTGTAAGCAACTCATGACTGTATGATGTTAAAACCTGGAAGGGAAGTGCACTAGGAGAGCAAAATATATTCTCTCCATAAATTATAGAAACGTGGCCAGAAAGTGATAGACAGAAAAAAATCACTACAAATTCTCCTGTCTCCTAATTACCTGGGTGCATCCCTTCTTTTGGTTATCCCTGACTGAGAAAGGGCCTGTTTGTAAACACTGGGATTCAGGGGTGGCAAGAAATCTGGAAAAGCTTTTGGAAACTAGGCTGAACAGAGGCTCTGCGGTTGTGGCTGTGATTATGGGATGTGAAACCAGATGATCCCTAAGTAGATGCCCAAGTGAGCCTGAGTCATAAGTGAACCCTTTGCATCAAAGGTGCAATCAAAGGTATCTGCTCATGACCACTTGCCTTCTGTGTTGGTGCTTTATAGGGCTGTTGGCTCACAAGAGATCTCTACACTGAGGAGCAAGCAGAGGGAAAAGCATTATCTCTGTAACTGCAGACACTGTGTTGGGGAGAGTGGAAGTCAGGTTTTGGAAAAGTCAGAGACCACCTTTCCCAGAGCAACAAGAGGACTGCAAGGAGCTAGAAAGACTTTTGTAGGTGTCGAGCCTGTTAGGCTGTCTTTGAAATACCTTTTGTAATGGATCTGGGATTCTGTTATGCTGTTAATTATTTCTAGTTGCCTACACAAAGCTGATATCTTACTTAAGGCTTAAATTAGGGCCTGGCTTATATAACAATAATTTGAGTTGTGGTTTTGATGGCAAATAAACATTGTCATTCTAGATGAGGGTAGAAAATCACTCTGATGCTGGGTAGAGTTGTCCTCTGAGCCACCTGGTAGATAGCTCTGGCTTGAGCAACATGGAGAAGTTGTATGGCATCTCTGATCTGCAGTGAGGTGTTCCTCAAAGCTTCTTGGCATCTCTCCTGTGATTGTTCCTAAAATGCACACCTTGGTTATATGCCAGTTGCATAGAACTACCACATCAACTACTCAACTGCCCTGGTGAAAATGAAGCAATAAAAGCAACTGTTAGACTTCTTTAAAGTGGCTGAACTGTTATGAAGCTCAAGCAGCTCCAAGGGCTGGTTGACCTACAAGACAGTCCAAAGATCACTGAAGCTCAGATGCTGAATATCACCAGATGTGCTAAAAGCTCTTAGGAGTAGACAAAACAATCGCTGTCCTGTGTGGGCAGTGTCCAAGCTGAGTCAAAGTGCTGCACATCAAACACAACGCACAATGAGACTCAGTGGAGAGGGAACAGTGCTCTGAGGGATGCAGCAGGGTGTAGAGGCATCTGCAGCCCCCAGTTCTAAAGCCCTGACTTCAAAGGCTTCCCTGAAGAGAAGACAAAAACCCTGCAAATCCAGTACCTTCAAATGGCTCCTGCTCTGGCATCCCCTTACAAGGAGCTTCTCTCTCTCTCAGAGCTGCTCAAGAACCCTGTCTTTGTGCTTAGGCACTTGCTTAAATCCTGGCAGTGGGAAACGTGCTGCCATCTTTGCTTGCTGGTTGGGAAGCACCTCATTAGTTATGTCAGAGACATATTTAAAATGCCCACTATTTTGCTCACTTTGTCCAGGGGATTATCTCTGCAAGCTGTTTTGGTTTCCCAGCAAGGAATAGACCACAATCAGGTCTCTGATTTGAACTTGGGGTCTGCTGCAACTCTTTCACCAGACCTCTTCCATGCAAACACAGATCGCAGTCAATGCCTCACTTTTCTGCCTTTTCACCAGTTCAGATGTAACTCCTGATGCCACAGCCACCATCACCAGGCTTCAGAGCTAACAGTTCTACTAATGACAATTCCAGACCGTGTGGAAAGTGCGACAAGGACGGCAAGTTAGGGTCGTACCCGGGATGTCTTCCCTGCCACCAGGCCTTTAGAAACGACTGAGGTGATTCTCATCCTCAGGAGCAGAGCACAGGGCGGAGGGCGAGCACTCGGCCGGGGCCACCGGAGGGCTCGGGCAGCCTGCCTGTCTGTCCGTCCGTCTGTCTGTCTGTCTGCTCACCTGCCTGCCTTCCACTGGCGACCGCTCCCCGGTGCCGGGCACGGCGGGGTCCCTCGGTCGCCGCTCCCAACCGGGGCCGCCGCCCCCGCCCCGCCGCGCTCCGCCCCCGGGGCCGCCCCAGGTACCGGCGGGGGGGGCGGCTCCGCCACGCGAGCAGCGGCCGCGGGACCCGCACGACTCGGCTCGGCTCGGCTTAGCTTGGCTTGGCTTGGCTTATCTCGGCTCGGCTCGGCGCTTCTCCACCGCAGGTAAGAGCCGCGGCCCCGCGGACAGGGATCCTCCCGCGCCGTCGGGGCGCTGCCTTCCTCTCGAAAGTACCGGGGGAGGGGGCTGCCGGCGGGGACTCGCCGCGTCTCACCGCCCTCACTGGGACCCAAAAACTCTTCCAGCCTCTTCTCACCGTGCGTCGGGGCTGTCCCCGGGCTCTGGGGGCCGGCGCAGGGGGCAGGAGGTGGCCGGCCCCGGGGCAGGGGGCAGGAGGTGCCCGCGGTGCCTGTGGGTGCGCTCCGCTCCCCCGAGGTGCGGTGTGAGGGGCAGCCCTCGGGAGCGACGGGGCGCAGAGAGCAACAGCAGTTCCAGCTCTTAAACAAACATTTCCCAGCAATGCAAGGCGATATAATAGCCCTTTATCTTTGAAATACCCGGAGCACGGGGCGGGGGGGCTGTAGGGGAGAGGCTGGAGAGCGGGGCCTTCCCAGCTGTTCTCCAGCTGGTGTGTGACCTGCCCGTTCCCGTCACGCTGGGCATTGCTCGGCTTGGGGAGTGCGAGCAGGTAACAGCACAACTACCCGGCGATAAAGCACTGCCGGGAAACGCGGAATCGCGCTGCCATTGTCGCTGCTGGGGAAGAGCAGAGACCCGGGGGGGTGTCGAACTGCACAGCCTGCCCGGAGCTCCCACCACAGAGCTGCTGTTCGGCAGGACAGGTGAAAGACCAGACTTGTGCGTCCACCCACGCTGCCCTATGGCACTGCACAGTGAGCCCATTGCACAAAGCCAAACGGATCAGTCATTGTAATTTAGTTCATAAAAACTCTCCAGCTTGTTCAGTATCTGCTAAACAAAACACACTTATTTTTTTTGCCATACTTTCTGAGACTACACTTTGATTTTCCTCAGTGTTTTCTCTGTGCTCCCAGCAGCCCGGCAGTGCAGCTCATCTGATGCAGGGGGTAACATCGTGCTGTGGGACTACAGGGCAATATCACCAACACCAGCACGAGTGGTTCCACCTTTTTGCTTCCCACAGCTCTGCCTTCACTCTGTCCTTCCTTTCTAACAAGCATGACATGTTGTGTGCTTGTGCAGTGCATCAGGTTGATCTGACCTAAATTAAGTCTAACCTGTCAAAAAAAGAAAAAGTGAGGGTTAATTCTAGCCTGGGTTTTCAATGTCCTGAGACAATATAAGAATGTGGCCTCAGAATACGTGTTTTTGTGCAACTCTTTGGTGGCAAATCTGGTTTCAACCTCTCCTGCTGTTTCCCATCACTTATTCCTGATCTAGTGCTGCACTCTCAGCTGTGCAAGTAACAGTCTTTGGGGCTTCATAGTAGCCTGGATTAGCTCTGAGTTCAAATAAACATCTCCTTATAAATGTTTTTTTTTTTTTTTCTCTTCCAAGGTAAAAATGTCACTGGAACTATAATTTTGATCTGTGTAACTGTGCCCAGATCATGGGAGAACTGGTATTGGTTTATAGTGGGTACAAGATTGAATCCACACACTGCTGTATGGAAGCATAGAACTGAAAGGCTTTTAATTCCTGTTATTTGTTCTTGCTATCCTGGAAGTGTTTGCATATGCGTTCACTGAGGACTTTGGTATGATCACTGTCTTCAGGACAGTTTTATCAGAAGAATTTATATTGTAAGTCAGAGGAGAGACAAACCCATCTTTAAATCAAGCTTCCTTTGCAATTTTGACAAAATCCTGCTGTCCCCTTTGCAGATCTGACACACTTTTCAGGTAACAAACTGAGAACACTTAACTAACTCTAGGTTTTACAGCAGTACTTCTTGCTACATCTAGGTGTAGCAAAGGAATACATTTAGTATTTGTTAACGTGATAGTTGTTGTTGTCCTGCAATAGTCATGTTAGTTGACTTGTGTGTGGTTCAGAGATAGTTTTTCCTACCTTACGTTTATTTTGATGCAGCCCCAGATTAAAATGGGCAGGTGTCAGTGTGACATTTCAGAATCTTGGATCCCTGGCTGGTTGTAGTTCCACGGAAGGGCAGTCACATCCACCTGGCCCTCCCCAGCAGGTCTGTGTGTGTTTGTTATTGGTTTGGCTGAGGAAGCAGGTTTTTTTTGAAGCATTTCTCAATGGCTAACGTTGAGAAGTATCCTGAACTGCTCATTTCAGGTATGTTTTTTTGCTGTAAAAATGTATCTTGTGCTTCAAGTTCTGCCTATTTGGTGAGCTCCTGGAAATGTGTGCTTAGCTTAGTGCAGCACAGTAGTGTTTGATATTTGACGTAAGCAGTAAGATTTATGTTTGGAAGTATTAGCTAATTAAAACAGGGGAAATGTGGGGATGCTTGTTGTAATCCCAGTTAGCAGGTGGCTTACTTTGCAGCATGGAGAACATCATAGTGCAGAGAAATGAATTAACTTATTCATCACAGGTTTTTCTTGGCAGAGGAGGATAAAAGGCAGCAAATTAAACTTCAGCACTGCAGAGACATCTTGAGCTGGCCCTGTTTCTGTGTGGTTCTGATGGTTTCTCCAGGACAATACCAGTCTCTGGTCACCTGATTTGGTCAGGACAGCAGCTTGCTTTTACCTATAAGTGAAAGGTTTTAGACCCAGTGATGCAGAAAAAATTGTAGTGCTGTCTCCTGCACACTGGTGGAGGGGTGTCTACCTGAATCTGCAGGTGGTGTCACTCCAACTCCAGACAGGATGAGTTCCATCATGTACCTGAACTTTCCTTATCTTCCACCACTGTGGGATGGTATGGTCATGGCTTCCTCCGTGGAGGGCTGTATCCCAGTGCAGAATGTAGCTGTGCCTTGCCTTCCAGCTGGGGAAGGATCAGCAGGGGCTTACTTGCATGTGTTTTGTAGTAGAACTTGTACAGATTCATCTCGTGTGTTGCTCAGAGTTCTTTTACGTCACTGTCAGTGTGTTCAGCAGTGAGATACTGCGAAGTAGTTCACTATTTCCAGTTCCTTGGTGGAAAAACAGGCAGAGCTGTGAGGCTGGAGAGCCCCTGAGAAGGAAACTGAAGTCTGTTGTCTCAGCCATCGCTGCAATGTTTGTGACAGGAAGGAAGGACTTTAATGATGATGAGTTTTGTAACAGCTATCGACCTCCTTGGTGCGTGCTGTTCTCTGGATTTGGGGTCTCAGCTAGTGATTCTGTAGGCCAAGAAATTGGCTGGCTCTTGAGGTTCCAGAATTCAATGGAATGTTCAGGGAATTGCAGAAATCTCTGCATCCACTCTTCAGTGCATGAGGATGTAAATCCCCTGTTCTGTGCATCCTTTGGGAGGGGGCTGAGCTGGGCTCAGTTAGTGGCTCCCCTTCACAATCTTTCTCTGTATTTTGGGGTGTAGTGTGTTTGCCAATAGGCACAGAACCAAGAAAAGACTCACAGAAGAAAGTAATATTTCTTCACAGTTTTTTGCCATTGTAAAATTAGAGTGACTAATTCCTCCTTCCTGAGAGTTTTGTTGTGGCTCTAAAATGGACTTTGAGGATGTTGGACATTGTGCAGGAAATGGGAGAGGCCTGGTTTCAGATACACAGAGACATTTGGCTCAAGGAAATCTTTCCAGTGACAGTCCCAGCCTGCAGCTGAGAGTTGTGAAGTTAGAGACTTGATGGCAAAAGGGTGATATCTGCTGGTTCTTGACTTTGTTCCACACTCTGAAGGTTCTTAAAAACCTTTTTAAAGCTCTTTTTAAAGCCTTGGCCCCAGATCTAAATGGGTAATAGTAATAAATAACCACTGACGTTGCTTAGAGGTTTTTATCCTTCAGTTGTCATGCCTACATTGAACTTATTTGTAGCGTGTAAATTCCAGACCAAATCCACTACTACAAGCACCTTCTTGTAATGGCTTCTGGAGTCATTAATAAAGGCATTTTAGTTTTTGCTGTCAAGATGAGGAGTTCACATTTTTAAAGTCATAAACATAGACTATCTGTGTAGAGAGCTGAATTATTTTTGTTCTAGATCTATCAATTGAGTTAGTTAGATGACATCCCGAAATCAAGTTCTGGATGGTACTGAAGTGCAAGCCAGAGGCTGTCACAGAGAGCAGCTGTTGCAGAAGGCAGGGGTGTGAGAACAGGAGGAAATGTAGCTGATACCAAAAAAGGTGCAATGCTTTGGGCAAGAGCAATGCGCGGCCTTGTTGCCAAGTGAGGTGACTGTCAATTGTGTGGGTCATGAGAAGGGATTTGCTTTAGATCCGAGTTCTCACCTGGAATAGTGGCTGCAGCTTGTTATTTACATAAGGTCCAAGTTTGCCCACGTGTTTTGGCAGCCTCCACAAGGCAAGATAATGTGAGTCAGGATGACAAAAGGTGGTGTGCCCTGGGTTACTGGAGAGGAAATGCACCAGAGACAAAGCTGGCCTTTAGATTGTATTAGCCATTAGAAAGATGACTAAATTCTGTTATGTTTTTCTGCTCTAAATCCGGGATGACTATTACTTTGAGGCAGTTATTTGTGTGTAGATGTGCTGTAAGATGCAGATATTTCCATGTCCTATTGCAGCATTGCAGACTGTGATCCAGGCTTTGTGCATAACACCAGTGTGTACAGACGTATTTCAGCTGCTCCCTGGTTCCATTTGCTTTGCTGCCTTTCTGCAGGACACGTGTGATGATTCCTATTTAAGGTTTTCCATCTACTTGTAAGATTTATCTGGAACTTTTATTTTAGCTTAATTGAGATAATCTCCCTTTAATAAACTTCAAAATGATGGCTCCAAATATCTTAATATCTGTCACTAACTCAAGCACTGTCTCTATTCTCTTTGTACCCTACAGAACTTTCTTTTTTACCTTCTGTGAAGGAAACTCAGACCTTACACAGCAGTGTGTTCCCAGCCTAACCTGCCTACCCATTAGTCTCCTACCTAATATTCCCTAATATTCTCATTATCCACCTTTATCACAAACATTTTAATCCTTTTGCTTCTACATCACAGGTTCAACAGTGTGACCACTCTATTGATTCATATACTCACAGCAAAGCCTTCATCTGTCTCATGGATTATAGATCCAGATTGGTAACTATCGCTTGCTTGCAATATTTATTAGCAGCTATGTTAATTGCTCACACTCTGTTTTCTGCTTCTGATAAATCTCTCCTGTAGCACAGCATCTGTGTAAGACTCCATAAGGTCATGGCCTTATTTCCTTTATGAGCTTTATTCTTAGGTTGACACACATTGGCTGTAAAAAATTTCCCTAGCTTGATAGAAATTCAATTCGGAATTTAATTTCTGAAAAAGAAAACGAAAATATTTATTTTCCAATGACAGAGCACATAAAGGAATGAGTTTTTATAATAGAAAATTAACATAGATGTATAATTTGCTAACTAGAGTATTTTAATTTAAATGCACTTTTAAAGACTCTTTTTGGGGAATAAACCCCCTGCAAGGTATTAACTCTTTCAAAAAGAAGTTATACTGCATGTTAGTAATATCTCTCATGGGTTACTGTTAAACTGTACATATTAGAGATTAAGAAATCTTTGGGTTTATCTACTTTTTTTGTTGCTTCCCTAGCACATAACTTACAGAATAGTTTCCACAGTCTTTTAGCATCTTCAGAGCTGTCTGCAATGCTGCAGTCCTATGTTTCTGTAAGAGCCTTGGCCCGTGTGTGTGATCTATTTGACTTTAGCACTATGCATGTGGGGTTTTTTTTAAACTTTGACCTTTAACTGGGCTCATTATTTCTGCTTTACCAAATGAGTGTGTCTAGTAATCTCTTTTTTTCCTTCCACACTCCTCAGTGCCCATGGATAGCCAGGAGTTCAACAGGTGCTGCTGTGTTTGTGACCGTGCCCCTTTTCTTGTTGCCTGCTGTTACCATTTATTCCTTCTGGACTGATAAACATCAACTGCTTTCTTAGATTTTCTCTCTTGGCTGACCTTGAGCACTGGAAGTAAAAACTAGTACTGTGGAAGTAGGAAAAAAAGAAGTTTGGACTCTGATATAAAGGAATGATTTAACACTGATAGCTCTGTGAAAAAAAATGTCAGGAGAAACAGCAGGGTCTCAACTGCTGAAAACACAGACACACACACACACAGAAAATGAGGCTGGACCGAGCCTGGAGCAGCTGATACAAGATCTTAGAAATATAGAGGGGTGGTTTCACCCCATCTTCTCATCTGCCTTAACAAATAAATGTGTCTGTGCTGGCAGATGATGATGAAACAGTTAAACAGTCACGTTTAAATTGTTACTGGTCCTATGTAACACAAAACACATGTAGGAGATTTAAGTTTTGCCTTTAAAAATGAAGCAGTGACATATTAAAAGATGTTTTTACTGCTAGAAATGCCCAGAAGCTGCAATATCCAGAACACGCAGGTTCATAAGAAATTGAATTTGTTAGTGTGTAGTTTGAAGTATGAGTTGCATCAGTGTGACCATGTTTCATGGTTAACTGGGGTGACTAACAGAAGACAAGGAGATTTTTTTCCAAACTCAAACTTCTTTCTCACAGTATTGTGAGAGAAAATGAGACATAGAAATGGTCATGTCTGTGAACACACCCATGTGGTTGCTAATAAAGAGATGTGGAGCTTCCGAGAGAATGATTGGATTTCTTGCGTCTTGGCAATGAGAGGATAGAGAAGAGTGTACTCCATTAGTTTGGAGCCAAAACTGTAAGAGCCTGGCAGCACTTGGAGTCAACCTTAGCTTTTTTTCCTGGAAATAAATGAATGGTGAGATACAGCAGTTGATTTCTAGCCAGCACTTTGAGCAGTTCATGTATTTTACTAAAGTTGGCTGTGGGCAGTAAATACTGCAGAACAGCAGTGCCAGTGACCGCTTCCAGCGATTCCTAAGAGCAGGAACACTATGCTGTGTTCAACTATTTTGATTCTTCACCACGATGTTGGTCACAAATTCGAGAGCACAGCTGTGTGAATCCATCTGTATGACACATTTCAGTGAGCACTGAAAGCAGCAAAGGCTGGTTTCCCATGGAGGTGTCTTAGGGCAATAGGCTTTTTTTTTTCTTTTAAACTTCATTAGACCAAAATAGAAACTAAGTGCAGGAGAGCCGCCTTGACTGAGGAACATATTCTTTGGTGGCTAATAAGCTCTGATTAAGATTTTATTGCTTTAGAGCATTTGCAGCAACCAGCTCTTACGTGGTTTCTTTGTCTAATAAAAGATGAGCTCACACTGCAGGCTTTTTCCTCAATAGGGAAATAATAAGGTATCTCATAGCTACGTAACTGCCTATTTTCTCAAAGTAGTTGGAAGTGGATGTTTTGGAGACCTTCCTCCCGTAACTAAAGCACAGGGGGGGAAAAAAAGGTTGTCAGTTTTAGTATGCTCTTAGCAACAAAGCAGCGGGCTACCAAGGCAGAGAACTAAATGATGCAAGGCCTCATACTGAAGTGTCCTCAAGGACAACCTGATTGGCAGCTTTTTCCTCTCATATGTGATGGGTTTTATGGAATGCAGCTAAATTATGCTTGTACAGGTATTTTATTGAGGATCATTCCAAGGCAGTCAAAATGGAAACGCTCACAAGCTTCTCCTTCGCCCTCTGCATGCCGGTTGTGTTTGACTTGCTCTTCTGCATCTGAACCCGAGTCAGGGTGTGAAACAGCAGAGATGCTGCTCCATTTGGAGTCATCCCGAATGAACAGTGTATGTCCCTGTGTGCCCAGGGAGCAGGGCTACACTGCCAGCTAAATGGCCTCGGACCAAGGAGGGAATACAACCCCCTGGGAACAACGGCTGTGTGAGCTGTCTGGATGATTGGGATGGGAGCTGTCCACTCTTGGTGTGTTGTCACCGTTCCCCTCTGCTGCAGAACCTCCTCCAGGTGCCAAGGGCTTGCAGGAGATGTGATTCCATGGACCTGTCTCTCAGTAGCATAGCAACTGCCATCACTTCCCACTGCTCGGTCCCCTCTGCTTGGCTCCCTCAGCCGTGCTGGATCAGGAGCTGAAACAACTTTACAAACAGCCCTGCAGAACAGAAGTTGCAGGAGGATTTATTTTTAACTGGGATCTCTTTGTGCTCTGAACCAGCTCTCAGTGGGGTACAGGACTGGCAAGACTAGGGAGTGCTTGAAGCAAGAGTGAGACAATAGGTGAGGAAGAGGGACAGGAGGAGAACTGGGAGAAAGGTCTGCTGTGTCCTGGCTTCAGAATTCAGCAGCAATTCAGGGGCAGCCCTGTGAACACTTTCAGCCTAAATGCTGGTGGAGCTCATCTTCAGTCATGATCTGCCATGAGAGGAGTAATCAAATATTAGCACAGAAGTCCCTTCAGTTTCACTCTATTGATGGGGGTGGGGGAAGGGAAAAGTCAAATTTAAGCAAGGGGATGGAATTTTCTTTGAAATCTTTGTGCTCAGACGCTGCCTCTGGTGATTCAGGGTGCTGACCTGCAGCATCTCCAGCGCAGCAGAGAGAGAGGCAGGCGCAGGCCAGCGAGTGTTGTGCTTCTATGACAACAGCCCCGCGCTCCGTGCAAGTATCATTTGATCTTATTTTCTGTGTTGTGCTTCTAACAAAGCTGCTCGAGCTGGCCACACTCCGTAATTGCTTCCTTAACGGAGATCTGAAAGTCACATTCTTAGCCAGGTACACTTCTGATTAGAGCAATCAAGGGGGGTTAATAGAAGCAGCAGTGCTTCAGTTAAAAGATCAGCTTGGAGTATGTGGATGGATTCTGTGAAAGCAGGGGTAGAAAGAAGGTATTGATTCCTGTATGATTAGTGGAATACTTCTTTGTTAAAGGTCTGCCTCTGAATCTTTACATGACCAGCCTTCAAGCGATGAGGGCTTCTCACTTTTTCAAGCCTCTGTGAGTGGAATGGAGAAGTAGAGATTTTTTTTTTTTTTCTTCTTCGCTTGAGTGCACAAGTGTTCTCATTGGTATTTTTGGAAATTGCAGTGTGTATGGGGAAGATAAATTACTCAAATAGACAACTTCTCACTGTCTTCCCGTTTGGTGATGGTACAGATCAACTAATCACCTGCTGCATAATTTTTACAGCTGAGATTTCTAAGATTGAGGAGGCCTTGAGTGCATTGGCCTCAGTGAGTGCGTGGAAGTTAGTCAGATGTTGAATTCTTCATTGTAGAAATTGCTGTCATGAACACAGCACGTGGGTAGAAGAGCTGTTTTCTGATACGCTGATGAGAAGAAAATTTGTTCCTGTTTTCTGGAGTGTTTCAAAGGACTGTGCAATCCGACAGAAGAGCAGCTGAAGTTCAGAAGAGAGTGTATCAGAATTGTGTTGTATCCTACAGAGAAACACTTGTGGGAAGATTTTATTGCATTCAGTGCAGCTGTTCACTGTTGAGCTACTGATAAATTGCTTCAGAAACTATCCTTGTTAATGCAGTCTGTGAATGAAATGTCTGCTGCACCAGCCCTTCTCTGTGCGAGAAAGTTGCATGTGCTTAATTAGAAATAAACCATCCTGCATACTGTACTGAAGTTTAAACTGGGTTGGATTTGGTTTGATTCCCTTCTGTTGGGAATTTAAATTAAATTATCATCCCTATTTAAGTTGCCTCTGTACAGCATTTTAGTTTATAGTTGTTTAACTATAGTGAATTTTGAACTGTTTGTTTTGGGTTTTGGGTTTTTTTTCAGTGAATGAGTGAAGTCCTGTGTGCAGGTGAGACTTAGTAAGAAGGAAAGTATTTGGGCATATACTGAGAGTAGACATTGGAGGGAGTTTTGTTCCCAAAAGTGCCTGTGAATCTGAGTTGAGGGGAAAATTAGCTTATTTACTGGGATGCTGGAGAAAGATGAGTCTTGGGTCTCCATCTGGTGCTTTCTGACACTGCACACAGGTTGCACAGGTCCTGCTTTGGAGGAGCAGCTGCTGCTCAGACCTGTGCTGTCATTGCCCCAGTTTGCCAACCCTGTGACTAATTATAAGGAGCCAAGACCTTTGCTTGTTTGATGTGGCATTGAGTTTGAAGCAGCATGAGAGATTAAAAGTGTGGTATAGCTGGTAAAAGGAAAGTTTCCTTTTCCTCCTCTGTAGCAATTTGGTCTGTGTAGTTGTGTTCTGCTCTGTACAGAGATGAGAAGTCAGGGCCTTGCCTTCTCCCATGAAGTGTCAGAGCTGCTTTATTTAAAGCAGCCAGGGCAGCTCAGTGAGTCCTGATATTTCAGATTCAGCTGTTGTTTTCTGCTTTCTTGCGGAGGACAAACGAAAGAAGCAAGCGGAATACAAGAAATGGCGCGCGATATATGAAAAATACTAAAAGGACTCTTACCTAACAACATGGACGTTTGCAGGCAGTTTAAGCCTGATTCGTAAATGAATAGAATGTTCTGTAGTCGTTTGACTAATGTTTATAATGTTTACTGTTAATGCATGCTTTTTAATGTTTGTACCCCAGTTATATTTGTGATATTATATTTGGACATGTATGAACATGTTAGTCCCCTCATGAATTTTCTCCTCCCTAATTGGTCAAGGTTTTCCTCTTTCTCATTGGCCAGGATTGGCCACAGTGTGGGCGGTCCTGCCGTTTCCCTCCTTCCATGTTATTGGCTCCTAGTTAATTTATGCATGTTGCTGAATCCCCATTGGTTGTTTAGTCCCATGCTCCTCCCAGTTTCCAGATCCTTCCACCCTGAACCCTATATAAGGGTTAGCTCTCCCCTTAGTCAGGGACACCGCCCTTGGCTCTGTACCTTCTCGTGTTCCTGTGTTAATAAACACCTACGACAGAGCAAGAACCCCTCGTGCTGTCGTCGCCTCTCCTTTTACCGGGCTGTGGCACTTTCTGAATCCAGTTCAGGATCACAAGGGAAGCAGGGATCTCTGAGGCTGCATCTTCCCCCTCCCCACCCTACTAATATTCACAGCTCTCACGACCACATAACAAAAAGGGATAGTTTATCCCTTCCAAATGCTGCCTGCAGCCACACTGAGCCCTCATATTTTATGCAGGTGCTGTTTATTTCAATTGCAGCCTTGATAGTAGATGGGTGTTGGATAGATTCAAAATTTCAGCTCAAATTCCTGCTGTTTCATCTTATAATTTTGTTTTGTTTGGTTTTGTTTGTTTGCTTTTGTTGTGTTTTTTTTCCGTGGGTGTTTTTTTTTGTTTGTTTGTTTTGTGCGTGGGTTTTGTGTTTTTTGTTTGTTGTGTGGTTTTCTGTTTGTTTGTTTGTTTTGGTTCTGCAACTGGTGAGAACAGAATTTTCCTAAGGATAAAATGGTGGTGGTGCATGTGCTAGAAGTGCAGATTTTCCACGTAAGTCATGAAAGGAATTATTTAGGTTTATTTACCTTGGAGTCTGCTTGATGAGTTGCACAGTTGGCTGCACTGTCAAAGATTTTAGTTCTTGGTTGCAGTACTGCAGTTTAGTGGAGCAACAGAAGTGGCACCCTGCCACAGGAGTAAAGAATGCTGTTTTCCCACGAGTATTTGAACAATCTGCGATATCCATCTGTTATTCTGTTCAGCACAAAGCAGTGCAACAGGTGTATTTCTTGGGTTTGGGAATCTTAGCAATGTAAGTGAATAATAGACATTTAAAGCCAGGACTTAAAAGAAGATTTCAAAGTTTGTTCCTCTTCATTCAGCAGATATAGTGGTTATGACATTAGAAAGTAGAGAGGTAACCTAAACATATGGTACACAGTAAAGGAAAGCAAATGCTGAACTGCTCTTAAATCTGTTCTTTTTCTGTGTTTGTCGTTGTCTTAGATGGCTTCAGTAACAGATGCCAGATACAGGCAGAAGGATACTTCAGACCAAAATTTTGATTACATGTTCAAGCTCCTGATCATTGGCAACAGCAGCGTGGGTAAAACATCCTTCCTCTTCAGATACGCTGATGACACTTTCACACCAGCCTTCGTTAGCACAGTAGGGATTGACTTCAAAGTGAAAACAGTTTACAGAAATGACAAGCGGGTGAAGCTGCAGATTTGGGTAAGTGCCAGCGTGTTCAAAAACGCGTTATATTAATCCCAGCAAAAGATATGATGGTAAAAAATGGCTTGTTTGGAAGTAAATTTCTGGATTGCTATAGATTTTGGTTGTTCCTCAGTTCTGTGTGGCTGCATCTTTGGATCCCTGCAGTGAGCTGAATTCTCTATTGCTGGTCAGAGCCCTGGTATTGTCTGAAGCAGCTGCTCTACAATCTCAGGAGTCTGTCCTATTAAACTGCAACAAACCCTACTCAGGTCTAGAGCCCTTTAGTAGCACTTTTTCAATGAGCAGAAATTCTGTGAGTGCTCAGTGAGTGAACTCTACGCTCTTCTGTTGGTTTATGTCCTCTACATAAGACACTTGTATCTTCCTGCAGCTCCTGTCCCTGCTCAGCAGTGCCAAGCATTTCTACCCAAATCCTGCCCTAGCTAAGAGCTTAGTCTTCTAATTGGTTTATATACACTTGATTTATAATTAATCTTTAATAATTATATTTAAATGTAAAATTACAGTAGTCACACGTGGGGTTTTTTATTTATTGTGGTGACCTTGACTAGTCACAAGAAATAGTGAGCATCTAAAATGAGAATTTTTTTTTCTTTTAACTACAACTGTATAATTCATTTTGTTTCTGGATTGCTGGATAAAAGGTACAACAAATTACTTTATAAAAGATCCTTTTTGTATTGTAAAATCCTGACATTGAAACTAGAGCAGATAACCTGGCATGAAGCTGTTTGATTTAATTTAGGGTTTTGGTAATAAAAATGTTTGTACTTTAGGCCCTATAAGCAACTAAAGATGATTTTTATCCAATTGGTCTTTCCTAATTTTGGAACGTGGAATTTTCTAATAAGTTGTGTAAAAGCAAAACAGGAAGCACCATAAAATATTTGGGGTTTTTTCAAAGATACTGGGATTAAAGTGAATTAAGCAATAATCTTAATTAAATCTGTTTGAAGGCTTTGGGGGGAAAAAGGCTTTAATAACCTTAAACTTCTTGGGGAAAGAGATGTCAGGTGGATTCCCCAGAGGGTGCTATCTATAGGACCTGTAATGTTGGAGTTACCAAGAACACTGTTGATTTAACATTTAATTTTTAATAAAAGGTTCATGTAAGTGTTTGACAGTTTCCACAGTAACTCCTGTTCTGTTCTTCTCTCTTTCTGTGCTCGTTGCATGGATCCCTTATGTGAGTTATGATTCAAGGACCTCAACAAAAACATCATGTACCTCTATTAAAACCACAGTGTTTGAACTTGTTTATCTCCTGCCCATTCTGAGATTATACTTTTAATCTGAATGTGTTCTTTAGAGTACAAGTAGTAATAGTGGGGTCTATTAACATAACAAAACTATGTGTTCCTAGGTGTAGGAAGGAAGGGTTTTCTTATCATCCTGTTTTCCAGTTACTTTTTAAAATGACTTACAGGTGCTATTGAGTTTCTGTGAGTGTGAGACTCTGTGGCCCCAGTGAACACTTTGCTTTGACCTACAATTTTCCAGTTATGTTGACTGGTTAAATTATGCTCCTCCTGAACTTGATGTTAAGCCAGTTTTAACATGAAAACCAAGTGAAGAAGGACAAGGTACAAGTGCTTAATTTAACCACTTCAAATGTCTTTATAGAATCCAGAGAGAAGCACTTCTGGGAACCTCTGGTGCTCTCTGTCTGCAAAGCCAGGTCTTTCTGAGTTCAGGGGTGCTTGTGGAGCTCTCGAGTGTGCAGCTGTGGCAGCTTTGAGGTGCTGAAGGGCTGTGCCAAATAACCTTGGTTTGTGCTCTGCAAATCCCGAGGTGAGGGGGAAGTTGTTGCTGCTGTGCTGTGATCCAGAGGTATCAGTGGGACTTTCTACACTGACTGTTGCCTGTGCTGAACAGAAGAGTGGGTTGAATACTGGGGTGCAGTACTCCAGCTACAAACAGTTCTTTGGGTTTTCTTCGAGCTGAGAAAAATAAGGGCCAAGCAGCTGTGTGTGAAGACTGACAGCTGTGTCAGTAAACATCTTTCTGGCCTGTCTTGAGCCTTTGTATCTCCAGCAGAAATCGATGAGCATTTTAAAGCCAGAGGCCCCGTGGTTGTGTTTGTTTGTGCTGGGTTTGAGGAAGTCTGTGTTTTGTGAATCAGGATTTGACAAGCTGTCAAATGTAATGGTCAAAAAAGAGTGCTCCTCCATTTAATTTTGATGTCATTAGTTCTGCCTTGTTGACATTAACGCCTCCATCGCCCAAATTGATATTTCAATAAGAGCCCCATCAGTTGTGCCAGTGACCAAGCAGGCTGGGAAATGGTCTGCTTTGGAAAGACTTGAAAGGAATATCTCTTTAGCTTGAGAGGAATGGCACATAGCAAAGATATTCATGATGTTTTTAAGGTAGAATGACAGTGCTGCTGCTAGAGATCAAATCAGTAAAATGGTCCAGAGAGGGCTTACATGAAATAATGCTTTGCAGGCTTTTTAATTTTTTTCTTTCTTCCTTTAAACAACTCCAAGATGAGTTGACTGTGTTTTAATTTCAAATATTTTCTGACTCGTTTAGAAGTGGTTGTGTTATATAAATTAACTTCATTGAGAAAGTTAATTTTGTAATTGGGTAAGATTTTATAATCTTTAAAATATCAAATTTAAAAGGTTAGTTACATAAAGATATTAATATACTATTTAGAAATTCCAATATCTACATAAATGTAATTCTTGGATTAATTTTTTTTTTATGCCACTGCCACCTGTAATTGTACTTTCATATAAAGATTCTTCCTTATGATTGATATGTAAGGAGCCAATTTATAACATCTCTGCATCTGGAGTGTGCATGCAGGTTATTTCTTTCTTAACCAACAATTTTGTACTCTCAGAGTTGCTAATTACTGATTACTGAAGGAAAGCTATTATATTTTCAGCTAGGTATGGTTTTTGTTATAAATAAACCCCAAAGGTAACATTATTATATTCTTAGCAAATGCAAACAGTTAATACTTAATGCAGAGTTCAGGTTGCCTAGCAGCTAGAGAGGGCCACTTTGTCCAGATCCAGATGGAAGCAGGGTGAATGAATAAAAGTGATTTCAGTTTTAGGTGAGAGCAAGGTGAGATTTCTTTTTTTTTTTTTTTTTTTTCCTTCCCCTTCTTCTGTGCATTTGTGTGTCTGTTGGTGGTAACTAATAGTGGTGGTAGAAATAACAGCAGAACTCGTGAGCTGCACAGCACTGAGGTTAAAAGCTGGCGGCAAACTCTGGTCTGTCGTGCTGGCCCAGGCTACATTAATGACATGAACTCTTTACACAGTAACATAAAACAACTGAGGGAAAGTCAAGGGCAGCGTTCAGCCCAAAGCACTTGCACACCACACAACACATGCTTTGTGTGAGGCATTTGATTAGACTTCCATTACACTTTTGTACAACCCCCTGCACAGGGGGCTCTGGGTTTTGTAGCATGTACTACACGTAACACATAACCACTTATGTGACTAATAATCAACAGAACCAAATACAATGTTTGGCAGCTGATGTTGCAGCTGAAACTACTTTCAACCCCCCTTGTAAAAGGCAAATAGAATTAAATTGAACTTCAGCTAAAAAGTCTGTGGTGTTCAGAGGCAGCCTATTTAGACTTGCAGTATGATTTTTCTTTGAAGGTGCTCCTTATCGGAATTACACGACTAGGATGAAGGTTTTTCGTTGCCATTAACAAAAATGTTTCCGTGTCTTAACTGCTGAAACATGTTGGGGTGTGAGATTAGCTGTAGTGGATGTCTGGAACACGTGTTACAGCTCTCAGGCACAGCTGGGGAGAGGGTACAAAGCAACATCGCTCTGGTTTTTCCGAATCTTTAAGAACCAAAATATGACAACTGCTAATTATACTGAGTGGCAGTTACCATTACAAAACAGAAAAGTGTAAACCAAAATAAACCCCATGCTGTGTGTAGCTGTCCAGAAGGGAAATATGGAGTGTTTTTAAAAGCTTTTTGTATCAGTTGTCTTGTGGATGACAGGATGTTACTGAGCAGCTCATCTCATAGGAAGGGATTCACAGAAGTAACACTGGTAACTAAGTTTTTGTGTTTTTTTTCCATTTACAGGAAGTAAAATTAGAACACCATCGTATTTGATTGTAAATTTTAATGTTAATTGCACACTTAACCAAAAACTAATTATGCATTTCAGATGAGAGAATCATCTATTCCCCAGGCATCCCATTCCCATCATGGTTTTGCTGAGTTCCTTGCAAGTACTGACTTAAAGCTTGAATGCTTGCACAAAACTTGTTTCTAAAAAAAGAGATAATAAGGTTCTGTAATTTAATGTATAGATGCAATAGCAGTGGATGTCCCTGAGGATCTGACAGGACTGATTCTGCTCAGTAAATTCACAGCTGTTGTCATATCCTCTGATTTGCTGTTTAGACAAAGAACTAAAATGAAGGAATTCACGAGAGCAAAAAGAACAGGTTGATCCTTGTAAGAGAGTCAAGAATTACATTTTATTTGCAGCATTAAGGGCTTACTGGGTCCTAGGAATGGGAATCATTGTGGTTGAATGGACATAAAGCACTGCTTTTGATCCTAAAACACAATGCAGAATATTTGACTGGAGAAGAGATGCAATAACAGTGTCTGCAATTCAATTCCAAGGTCTTGGTTCCATTTCAAGTAATAATACCACTGCTTTGAGAAGAACTTGGTGCTCATGCCACTCTGAATAGGCTTTAAGATTAGAGTTGCAGGAGAAAGGGAGAAAAACATAAAAACTAAAACCTTGAGTGGTAAGTTATCCCTCTCACTATTGAATTTATTGAACAGCCTAAGCTTGCTGAGCAAGGCATTGCTGTGTTTGCAGTTAAACGGTTGACATGGAGGGTTTATTTCTGTTTATAGTTAATCACTTCAATCCCAGTGTTATCTCATTATAACTCTGCATTATAGTGAAGGCCAAATTCAACTTCAGTCCAAGTTGTGTTACCACAGCAGTTATTCCTGCTGACAATAGAGGATTTG